GAACACTTAAAAATGGTTAAAATGTTCAGGCATGATGCACACATCTGTAACCCCCACCACTTTAAAGGCTGAGGTTCACATGTTTGAGGTCAGCCCTGGCAACTTAGTGAGACTCTGTCTCAAGATAAAAAATACAAGGGGCTGAGGAGAAGGCCAGTTGCCTAGAATGCGTGAAGCCCCAGGTTCAATTTGTTGTGTATTTTAACACAATAATACCCCACCACCACCACCAAAAGTTCACGGCTTACATACTTATGAAAATACCCATTTATAAACTGAATGCTCTGAGCACTTACCGCCAATTGAATTTACTCTCACAACTTTGAAAGCCATAGTCACCATGATCGTGCATGAACTCAGAGTGGACGGCTGTGTTCCACATCACCTGTTTGAAAAAGAGAGGAAAGACAGAAATCATTAGCTAATGGTAACTACGGAACAGCAGATAAAAGTCCTGACTTTGAAATTAAAAGTAAACTCAACACACTGAAAGTTCAGGAGTATGATCAGGTGGATTTTTGTAGAAGCAATCTTAACTGGTACATTTGGAAACATTATTATTCTGATCATGATTTATCAAATATGAAAAAGGAGAGTGAAAAAAGAGAGAAATATGAATTCTACCTTTTTGGGTACACATCCAACATTCACCTAGGAAAAAAAAAAGATACAACATTAAGAACATTTAAACTCAAGCCACTAGGGTGCCCGGCTAGCTGAGTCAGCAGAGCATGAGACTCTTAAACTCAAGCCACGAAACCCCAAGAACCAAATGAGACTTGGTTTTTGTTTTGTTCTATTTTGTGTTTTTGAAACAGGGTCTTGCTATGCAGTTCATGCTGGCCTTGAGCTCACTTTGCAGCCCAGGCTGGCCTCAAACTCGCAACGATCCTCCTGCCTCAGCCTCCTGAGTGCTGGGATTACAGGCGTGCACCACCTTGCCGGGCTAGACTTCTTTGAATTTTAAATAACAGTGAAGTAGATTCTATAGCTATTCTCTTTTCTCTAGGCTAGAACTGGGAAACAGTATTACTCTCCTTATGTGATGGAACAAAAAATTTTTACTCATTAGTAATTTAAGGAAAGCATTCATTGAAAGAAGAAAATAAAAGTAATCAAATCACTTGCCCAGCTAGAGGATTTCTGGAAACTTCCTGTGGAGTATGTGGATAAAACACCTGGAAGGGCCCTTCCATAAAACTGCTCATGGGAACCACCCTATTTCTCGGGGCAAAAGCAGTGAGATTCATGCCCTGCTCTAACGTCTTAAAAACATACTAGACACACATCAAGAATTTTACTCTTAGCCTTTTAGCAGTCACCACACAGAGGAAAACCAATAGCTGTAAGGTTTCTTTCAGTAAAGACTCACCAGATAGGAAACAACTGCTCATATAGGTAGACTAAGAAATTCCTCCCCAGAATCTATATACAAGCTGCAGCACATATTTTTGTGCACAACCGTTCATTTTCTTTTGATCATTTCCTATTCTTTTTAAAGCTGGGTTAAGTTAGACCTTGACTACAAGGCCTTGAAGTAAGAAATCTAGGACTTAACTGAATGGATAACTACTCCATATCCTGCAGAGGAGCTGCTTGCAGAAGAAAACTAGATCTATCTCATTTTTGGTCCCTTATCCTCCAGCCTCAGCCTCCCTGAGTGCTGGATTTACCAGCATGCACCACTGTGCTGGATTTTGCTTTTAGGAAGGACAAACTATAGGCTCCTCAAGCACTCTGGACTTGGCCTCTGCTGTGCATTTCTGACATCTTTTAATGTTATAAATACTGAATGCAAGGGGCTGGTGCTGGCCAAGGTTTGTCTTGGCCACTAAAATGAAGTTATAAGACTTAAACAAGGTATCAACTGTGTATCCTTAAAAAAGTCAGTATGCTCACTCCTCTCCGTTAGTGCAGAGTACAGACTGAACATTTATGCATGTTGCACAGAACTTAGGATGCGGACCATCCATCAGTAAAGGAACCCGAGAAAACCTAACTATATATTAGATCTCATGAAATGAATCTGAGCCAGGCATGGTGGTGCATGCCTGTAATCTGAGTACTCAGGAAGCTGAGGCAGAAGGACTGGCAAGGACTGTAAGGCCAGGCTGGGGTTGTACAGTGAGTTCAAGGCGAGTCTGAACTATATAGTGAGACTCTGCCTCAAAGAAGAATTTGAAAGCTGGGAATGTGGCTCAGTGGTAACCGAGCGCCCGCCTACAAGCACCAGGCTATAGGTCCAATCCCAGCACAGAAGAACTAAAGATAATCCTGTCACATATACACATATACTTGTTGATAATCATTTCCATTGTGCTGTTAATACAACACAGCACATCCTATTTGGTCCAGAATTTGGAAAAGTGACCTAGAGAAATAGTCACATATGCTCACGTGCCCAAGGACACATGTATAAGGCTATTCTCCAAAGCAGTCATAAGAACTGGCAACAAGTCAACTATCCCTCAGTAAGGAAGTATTAAGCACAGGACTGTACACTGAGCCTATGGACTACTCTGCAGCCACTTCAAAGGATAATGTAAGCTGGGTGTAGTGACACACGCCTGTAATCCCAGCAATCAGGGGGCTGAGGCAGGAGGATCATTTCCAGTTCAAGACCAGTCTGGGCTACAAAGTGAACTCAAGGCTGGCCTGAATTGCATGCATAGCGAGACCCTGTCTCAAAAAGATCAAAAAAATAATAATAATAATTTAGGATAAGGTACATTTATATATACTGTTAGGAAATGAATTTTAAGATACAGTGGCTCCTATCAGTTCTTGGGTCTTTTTTTTTTTGGCTGGCCTAAATCTCCCGGCGATCCTCCTGCCTCAGCCTCCTGAGTGCTGGGATTACAGGTATGTGCCACCACACCCAGCTCTATCAGTTCTAAGACACCCCCCCCAACTGTGCATAGGGCTATACATACTATTTTTTTATAGTATGTTTTTCTCCTATGTATATATACCTATGATAAAGATTTAACTTATAAATCAGAAGAGTAAGAGAACAACAACAATAATAAAAAATAGAACAACTATAATGATACACTGTGCTAAAAAGTTACATGAGGCCAGGCAAGGTGGTGAATGACTCTGATCCCACCACTTGGGAGACTGGGGCAGGAGGACCACTGTGAGTTCAAGGCTGGCCTGGGCTATATTGTGAGTTCAAAGACAGCTGGGCTAGAAAGCTAGACTCTGTCTCAAAAAACAAAAAGTTATATGAATGTGGTTTCTCTCTCAAAATGTCTTATTGTATTATATTCACTCTTGTTGACTTCAGGTAACTGAAACCATGGAAAGCAAAACGGTGGACAAGGGGAAATTACCATCCAGTGTTATGTGACAAAAAGAAACCCAGTGGAAAAGTAATTATTGCATGGCCTGGTGGTAAACCTACGGCACACAGGCCACAGCAGGCTGCTTGTATCACTGAAAGCTCTAAAAGGTTTGACATCACTGCGATGGCCCAATCTGAATTTATGCACTGTATGTACGTATGGTATTTTTCGAGCCATGGCCACACTACATCTTGGTCAACGATGACTCTATGTCCACCGGTGTTCTCAGAAGACAGCTCCCAGTGCCGCCACAGTCACCTTATGTACACACTCTCCGATGTCCACACAGTATGAAGCTGGCTGCCAACGCCTTCTCAAATCCTTCACTCAGCACTCAGTGCCTCCGGCGCTATGTCCATTTAGACACGGTTTGGCTACACTCCAAGCAGTCACAGTGCTACCTCCGGGGAGGGGGAAACTGCCATATTTTCTGCTCTATGCTTTTTATAATGGGATATAGTTATTTGCCATTTGCTATTTCTTTCATCTCACTTGCTTGCAATACAATTTTTATATGAAACTCAACACTTTCTAGACATAACTTTTTTTTTTGGTCTTCTTGAGACAGGGTCTCCCTGTGCGGTTCAGGATGGCCTTGAGCTTGCTTTGTAGCCCAGGCTGATCTTCAACTCACAACAATCCTCCTGCCTCAGCCTCCACAGGCGTGTACCACCATGCCTGGCCTGTAGACATACCTTCTATCAGGTGCCTCAAACTCTGCCTATCACGACCACGCAAACTAGATTAGCTTTCTGCACACCCCAAGAATACAGCCTGGCTTTCATAGCATGCTTTCTGGGCGTCCTGTGGCAGAGCCTGAACCACATACGTATGTGCCAAGGCATCTGGTATGACACGCTACATTCAAAGAGATCTGCCTAAATCTCATTACACTCTCATGCGGAAAGGAGTAGTCTTTCTGAAAAGTAATCTTCTATTCCTCTAGTTGTTCCAAATTCTGTCCTATTTGCTCTTTGAGGTACCGAGCATTGAACCTGGTGACTCACGCACCATGGGCAAGCACTCTATCACTGAGCGCCCCAGTGGTTCCAAGTGCATCTGTAACAGCACACCTGGTACAATTCCATTGTACTCCTGTTAGTCACTATTACTCTGCTCCCAGGAATTATAAAGGATGAGTGTGCTTCTATTTGGTCTCAAGCTATTACTTAGAGGTTTTTCTTTCCCCTGCAAAGAGATGGGTCATATCTGTCTAGTTAGGGCCCTGGATTTACTTTTTAGGAGATAATGCTGTAGTAAGGATTCTAAAGGCAACAGAGGAAAGAAGCCAAGCGATTGAAGGAGAGGTGCAGAATTTGAGCCTAATAAAATAAAGAACCAGCACCTATGCAGCATTACAGGCGCACTCTTCAGAAAGGATTTTACATTACCAGCTAGAACAACTGACGCCTTTCTACACAGTCTGCCCTCCCTTCTGACCAAGCAGCGGTATTCGACTTCTCAGCTCCCAATACTTAGGGTTATGAACAGGTGGAAGGAAGATGACCTGAGTTTCTTGAATACTAAAAGCAGAGAAAGGCGGCTGGAAAACCCTGTGGGAAGAACAACCCAGCCCTGTGGCAGGGGTGACTTTATCATCAAACCTGCCTCTTCCGGTTCCCTGGGCGGGCAGTGCCTCCCAATACCTCCTAGCCCCGCAATTTGCTGCTTAGGTCCAGTAACAGGCTTCAATTAGAACAAACTCCAAAAGCAACGTAGCCAAAGCTTGAGATGATGTCAGTACGTCAGAGAAATGCAGCTCTACTTCCTTCCAGTCACCTCTCCAGATGGCCAGTAACCTTTAAAAGTCATTCAAGGGCAGACAGAGTGTACATGCCTGTAATCCCAGCTACAGGGCAGGCTGAGGCAGGAGGATCACAAGTTTGACCAAAGCCTGGGCAACCTGGTGACTTACCAAGATCATGTCAAAGAAGGAACGAAAGAATGGAAGGGAGGAAGGAAGACTGAGGATGTTGCTCACTCAGTGAAAAGGCTCTGGGTTTAATCCCCAGGATGGCAAAAATAAGAAAAAAAAGTGCAATTCAAAGGGTCATCAGTTAGCACTAAAATGTTCTGAACTATGCTCACCCGTCATCAGTTCACTCCCCACAGATACACGAAACAATCTTGAACTTATTTGAGGCAATTTAAAAATGTTTGGAATATGCTTCTTCTAAGGGCCAAGATGGCCTGACTTGCACTGGTGCTGCACAGATGACTAACTCTGTTCTACTTTTTGAAGTTTCTGCCTTTGGGGTTTCTAAGTTAAAAAGAAAAAGACAAAAAACACTCACAGCTATTCACTCCTTCCAGTGTCAGAATAAGCACGCACCTGTGCCAGGCATTATGCAAGGCAAAGCACAAAGCAGATGTAATCCCTGCTCTTGTGGAGCCTGCAGTCCTAGCCAGAGAGAAGCTCTGAGCTTACTCAAGATACCAACCCACGGAGCAGTGGCAGAATCGCTGTGTTTCCCCAAATCACAGAACACTGAGCCAGAAATCAGATGTTTGGAATGGGTGCTATAAGGCTGTGATCTGGGTCAGAGAGCCTGCACTCCAGCACAGCACACTTTAGGGCCTGGGGATTCGGAGGAGAGGCGGGCAGTGACCTGAAATACTGCACAGTCGGCCTACTTTGGCAGCCTCCGGGAACAGGCCCTCCAGGGTTTCTGCTGGTTTTAGAAGCCAGTTACTCCCCAGAGCAACCTGGCACACGTCTCTGGCGCGGAGGGATGAAAAACATCCCTCTGAATTATCTTCAAAGCCAGGGAGGCCAGGAGAAAAGAGCTATATCCGCTCACACTCAGTGCCAGCCGCTGCTGCTTCTGCCTCCTTCCTCTTCGCTAGCTGATGTGTGCATGAGGTCCTCAGAGATCACAGGCGTGGGGTCCGCTGGACAGTGTGACTCTAAGCTCAGCCCCCCACCCCCACCCCACCCCAACCCCCAACACTGGCTACAGGTGGGGAAGTTTCTAAATCTCTCTGAGTGATTTCCTAATCCACCAAATGGGAAGGGCAACTCTTAAGATTGCACAGGTTTTGAGGAGGTTAGTGGTAACACACAGAAAGCTCTGGTATCTAATCTACGACAAATCTGTTTACCCTGACACTGCTGAATTATTTCTGAAGTCTGTTCCCTGCACACATACACACAAGACGTGCAGAAAAGAGGAGATAAATACCCAGGGAGCTTCCCTATCAGAAACAGATCAACTCAGCTGGGCGTGGTGGTGCACGCCTATAATCCCAGCACTCAGGAGGCTGAGGCAGGAGGATGGTTGTGAGTTCGAGACCAGCCTGGGCTACAAAGTGAGCTCAAGGCTAGCCTGAACTGCATAGCGAGACCCTGTCTCAAAAAGATCCCCCCCCCACAAAAAAAGAAAGAAAGAAACAGATCAACTGGTCACCGAGGAAGTTTGCCTCTAACAGTGGGACACTGGGTTCTTGGGTGTGGCTTTCCAGACATGCGCACAGTTTATAAACCTCAAACATATCTCACTTTTGACCTGGCAAATTATCTCACAGAACTTCCACTTTCCAGGTTCAAAGAGAAGCAAGCAGTAGGATGGGCCAATTTCCTGCACTTCTCAGTAAAGTCATCAGGACTCCTGGACCTCTGCCTCCCTGTCTAATGTCGGAGAGCTTCCTGCTCCACCAGTCCACATTCAGAAGCCTCTGTTCCATGGGCTGCCAGCACTGCTCGCAGGAAGCACAGGGGCCTCTTCGAGCAGGAACAGAACACGTGCAGGTGGCAAAATGCAGGGGCTTCACTTTTCTGAGCTGCGCTTACCTCCAACACCGCCTACCAGTATACAGAGAAATACTTTGTACTGCCCATGCCGGCACCTAACAGGTACTTAGTAATTTTCACCTGCACCAGCTAAACATGTGGCCTGTGCTTAAGGAACACTGAACTTTCGGCTTTTTCTCTCCCATCCCCGCCAGGGCTGCCTAGTTTCCTCCCTAAGATCTGCTTCCAAGACAGTTTAAAGAAAGGGCACTTAGAAAATGGACCAGTCATCGTTTACAAAGCAAACCTCCACTGGTTCAGCAAGTCATTCTTCCAGTAACTATACACCGAGTACCTACCGTGTGCAAGACTATTCGAAGGGCTTGGAATATATCAGGGACCACAACAGACAAAGATGCCTATCTCTCTGGAGCTTTACACCAACTCTAGAATATGGGATATTGTCTGGGCATCTTTCAGCCCTGTTCCTGGCACATATTCAATCCTCAGGATCCAAATCTCCTCTTTCAAAGCCTTTCTCATTTCTGATCAAGCCTGGCCCAGGGAAGCATCAAGCTTAAAAAAGAAAGTGTTCTGTGCAAAGCAATCTTTGCAATGGGTATTAGCAAAAGTGGGAACTAAACTTGTTTTTGCCCAATTATTAGCTAAGCAGAACATGAAAATAACTCCTGAACCTGCCAGTACTAGAAATCATTACACTTAAAAGGGCTGTTGCCGGGCATGGTGGCGCACGCCTGTAATCCCAGCACTCGGGAGGCTGAAGCAGGATGGTTGGGAGTTCGAGACCAGCCTGGGCTACGAAGTGAACTCAAGGTCAACCTGAACTGCACAGCGAGAACTTGTCTCAAAAAGACAAAAAAAAAAAAAAAAATGGCTGTTTCTCCAGAGTACCCAGGGAGACCCAGAAAGAGACCAAACTCACCTGAAATATCTGCCTGCTACCTGCCCACTGTCCCCTGCTCCCCTTTCTCCAAAAAGAAAAGGACCTGGGAGTCCATGCCTTACTTTGTATCTAACTGTAATTAACTAAAATTAACTGTGATTGAAGGAATCTGCTCCCAAATGCAGAGATTTTAGCATTCCCATACATTCCTTCAATTTGACCACATAAGGACACATTCTTTGTCTCTACTTTTCCGAAGGACATTTGACAGAGCAACTGAGAGACCCTCTTTCCCTTTCTGGCCCTGCAGACTGAAAGGGTTCTGATGCAGACTGCAAAATGCAGACTTAGTTTGATCTTAAGATTGGTGCAAAAAAAGCAAACAAGTCATGAAGGTAAATCAGCCAAAGTTTAACAGTAAGTCCCCGAGTTAGGGACATTCAAGTTGCAAACTTTCACAGACACCAGTGGATCCTACATTATGAATGTTCTTTGATGCGAACAAATTGTGGAGGTAGCTTTCCTGTCTACCTTACCATTTCAATGTATCAATAAAGGTAAAAACGGTTTATTTACCGTATTTGTGTATTTGGCTTTTTAATGCTTTACACTGTATGTCTGTGTCAATGTGTATCTGTGAGGTATATAAGACTCACTTGCTCAGACTTATGAACGAATCTGACTTATGCATGTCCTCCCAGAGAGGAACTCATGTTTACTTACTGTAATAGTTGTCTATGACTAACCCCAGCCTTTAGGAGCACTCCTCTACTTGGCACTTACGAATATAGGTAGGCTCCACGTTATGAAAGTCTAAACTTATGAAATAAATCAGGATGATTTTCTGTTTTTAAGGAATACCTAGGCCGGCATGATGGTGCACACCTGTAATCCCAGCACTCGGGAGGCTGAGGCAGGTGGATCGTTGCTAGTTCGAGACCAGCCTGGGCTACAAAGTGAGTTCAAGGCCAGCCTGAACTGCATAGTGAGACCCTGTCTCAAAAAGACAAAAAAAAAAAAAAAGAAATACCTGTCACTATCAAAGCAACTACTGAACTCCTCTTAGTAAATTACATTTAGGAATTTACATTCAGCCTTATAAGCACACAGGCTTTACACTAGCAAAGTACACACTATTATGGATTGCATCGACATGTCCCCTCAGAGCTGCAGGCCCGCAGAGGTGGGACTTGCGGGGGATAACGGGATCCTGAGGGTGTGGTACCTACATTTAGTCCGCTGATGAGCTTAAGCGAATGTGTTGTTGAGCAGTGAGGACGGGTCAGGAGAGGTGGGCTGGGGTGTGGCCCAGAAGGGGAGCTCCCTTCCTCCACCCTCTGTCTCTTCATGCCTGCCAGGCCAAGAGCAATTCTCCTCCCCACTGCCCCTCTGCGTGCTGCTGTGCCTTGGAGCCTGGGACTACGGACTGAACGTCTCCAGGCTGTGAGCCAAAGCAACCTCTCCCCCTCAGGGCTGTGGCGTCGGGTATTGTGTCTCAGCACGAGAAAGGAACTAAGACACAATCACCTCCAATTTAGGTTCTGAGTCTTGTGTTGCTCAATGATGGCCGCCCCTAGACTAACCCTATTCTTCCGAGTAGCCTGTTTCTCAGGCTTCGTCCCCACCCTCGGCCCCAGCCCCAGCCGCAGGCCCCACCTCTGCTGCGGGTTTCCACAGCTGGCGCCACACAGCACAACGCACAGGTGCTTAGTGTGCCGAGGGCCCTCACTCCATCAACCCTTAGCCACGTCTCTGGAGACGCACGGGCCGACTTCTGCAGGAGCCCAGCTCCTCTGCTCCTCGGCATCAGGGACTCAGCAAGGATGCAGAGGCCAGGGCTCCCTGGCTGGGGCCAAAGGAGCCTTAGTACGAGTTTCCTCCAGCGGCCTCTCAGGACTGAGGCACAGGGCAGAGGCGCAGAAGCGAAGCTCCCAGCGGCTCCAGCACACCTTGGCGCTGCGCAGGCTCTATGTTACTCTCTGCTCTGCGTGGGATCCTGAAGGAAGCATTAGGTTTGGAAGACTGAATAAGATCAGCTCACCTATGTTATCCGCTCTCGGAAAGACCTGTGGTGGGCAGCCAGGGATTGTCTTCAGTGGGGCTCTAGGGGGACAGGAGATGACCCCTCTCAGTTCCCCACTTTTCATCTTTCAGCCAATCCGCTACAACTGCAATTTTTTGCCTGATTCAGAAAACAAGGACACGTTTAAAAGTGCCACCACGACACTGGACCTGCGCGTGCTTCTTTCTGTGCCTCTGCCATTGTTTGGCGGTCAGGTGGTTCTGGCCCTTGCTGTTCTCCACACAACAAGGGCCAAGGGCGTCTCCTACTTCAGCTTCTTACTCCCTTTTCTCCCGCAAAGCAGCATACACTATTAAAGAAAGATGAACTCCAGTATACTGACCATGCCAGGCGTGGTGGCGCACGCCTATACTCCCAGCCCTCAGGAGGCTGAGGCAAGAGGATTGCCATGAGCTCGAGGCCACCAAGACCCTTTCTCAGAAACATACAAAAGTATTAAAAAAAAAAAAAAGTATACCAACCATGTTAACTCAAGCTGCTATAAGAAAACACTACAGCCTGGAGGGCTTAGCAAATATTGTTTCTCCCAGTTGTGAAGCCTGGCAAGTCCAAGATCAAAGTGGCGGCAGAGCTGCTCATTGGTGAGGGCTCCCCTCTGGGCTTGCAGGTGGTCACCTTCCCCCTGTGACTTCACTTCACAGAGGAAAAGAATGGCGTCTCTTCCTCCTCTAATAAAGATACCTGAGGGACCCCTCTCTCCTGACCTCACCTAAACATAATCGCTTCCCAAGGCCCCTCACCTCCAACTTCCTGCACACATGGAGCAGGGGCTGGAGCTTCAGTATATGACCAGGCAGGGATGGGGTGCACGGGAAAATAACTCAGCCCAGAGCACCCACCCATGCCTTTCCTCTTGACAACACTTGGCTCTCAGGAAGGGCCTCTTCCGCCCTGTCACAGGAGGTGGTAAAGCCTCCTGCAATAGGTAGACCCAGAAGTCAGAAAAACTAGGAAAGCGATCACCCTTGCAAGGTGTGAAGGAAGGTTATTTCAGAAGCATGCAACACATGCAGGACCAAAAGAATCTGCTTTTTATTTTTTTTGGTCTTTTTGAGACAGGGTCTCAGTATGCAGTCCAAGCTAGGCTTGAGCTCACTTTGCAGACCAGGCTGGTCTCAAACTCACAAGGATCCTCCCGCCTCAGCCTTCCCAGTGCTGGGATTACAGGCATGCACCACCACACCCAGACAAATCTGCTTTTTAAAAGCCACACAGTTTCCTGTCTCGTACTTCTATTAGAGTAAGAAACAACCTTTGCTCCATTAAAGTTAGTCAACAAAGTGTGCTGTATGCCTTTGCCTCCAACCTAAGTAAAAAACTATGTATTATGTAGAGGTATCAACTCCCCACAAGAAATGTAAACATGGTATACTACAAACATGCACTAAAATAAAGCAAATGATCAGAAAAAGTACATAACCTCTAGAGATGAGAAAGATACAATCTTCTAGAAACCTCCACAGGGTGTGCAAGAATCACAATTCTTCTCTGAACTACTTCAGTAGTTATTCAGATTTGAGGCCACACTACTCTGGGGTCAATCGCCTACATCTGGTATCCCCCGCCGAATTATAAATTCCTCAGAGAAAAAGACATTTGCTGTACAGATGTCTGTACCCACCTTTTTCTCTGTCAGCCTCAATCTAAGAAACGAACATATTAATAAGAAGACATACCTCAGAAAGCCTCACTTTTCCCTGCACCTGTCTGGAAAACACTTCACGTAATATGCTTATTATTGCAACGGTGAACAGTCCACATAACTACAATCCTCTAGCAAATCTAATCCAGTGTCTACCTATTTGTTGAACCTCCGATATTTACTGCACACCTACACCGTTTCTTTTTTTTTTTTTTGGTTTTTCTCCGGTACCGGGAATCAAACTCACGACCTTGCGCTTGCCAGGCAGGTGCTGTGCCACTGAGCTAAATCCCCAGCCCCTACACCGTTTCTTGTAATTAAAATCTAGAAGCCAGTAGGAGAAAAGTCCTAATGAAATATCATTAAGATATTAAATAGAGGATCTCCCAAACTTGTAAATGCTTAAGGGGAAGTCAAAGCTTCTGCAGGAGAAAGCCAGAAGTAAAAGCTGGCACTCCATAAGGAAGGCAGCAAATAATTGGCTGGCTCTCCCCTGCTGCACTTTGCTCTCCAAAGCAGTTTATCTTTCCATGTATTCTAATTGCTCACAGGAACCTAAAACTCGGGTCAGCCCGTCTTGATCAATACTAGAAGAACCAGCAATGACAGCAGGTGCCCCAAGCCTGTTAGGACACCAATGAGGAAGGAGGAAAACAAAAATGTGGAGAGGCAGAGGACAGAAGGGATGAAGCGTTCTCACAGTCGTGGCAGAGGCCGAGCCTCTGAGCGGCACTTTCAACCTGCCCTCTGCACAGATTGACTTCTAGTCTTGCTCGGTTAAAGGGTCACAGTGAAAGTTGATAATTAACTGGGACTTTTCCTTTCTCCTCGTTCCGTCAGTTTGAACTTGAAGAAAGACCTGAAAGATGCAGTCACCTTTGAATAGCTGTCTTCATTCACTCTACAAAAGGTTACTGAGCAAGTCATTTGGCTAAACGTGGGAGAGGTACACAAACACAGGACTGCTCCTACTAAGTATCAGTCTTCAAAGGCATTTACAGAACTTATCCCCAGTCCCAGATTAGTTTTGGAGGGAGCATATTAACGTCGGCAGCATGGTCCCCATCCAAATCTTGCCACAGAAGAAGTCCACACTAGGAGCCAGGCGTGGGGGCGCATGCCTGTAATCCCAGCACTGGGGAAGCTGAGACAGGAGGATCGGAGCAAGTTTAAGGCCAGCCTGGGCTACAGAGTGAGCTCCAGTCCAGCCTGAACTGCACAGCCAGACCCTGTCTCAAAAAAGATCCCCCCCCCTAAAAAGTCCACACTAATAACCCAGAGATAAATCATCCCTAAAAAATCATCTAAATTGTCTATCGAGGCAACCTGCAGTCCTCAACTTTGGCTGCAACTCAGATTACCCGAGGAATTTCTCAAACTCCCAAAGCCCAGGCTGCGTCTCAGACCAAGAACGTGAGAAGCCCTAAGCCCTTGGGTCGGGAACACGAGGCCAAGGCTGAGGACTGCGCTATAAACCCTTCCTCCCGGGCAACAGCCGGGAGACGACCGGACCCACTCCGCAAAGACTACCCCGACTTCCACCCCGACCCCCGCGCTGCACACGCGCGCTGCTCCCAGCGTTCCGGATGCGGCTTCGCGTTTCGGAGACCGCGCCGGGCGCGCAACACTCCCCCGGCAGAGCGGCGAGGCCGCGGGAGCGCTGGCCGCGGTGCACCTGCGCGGGCCGGAGGGGCACGGCT